GAGTTTCTCTTCCATTGTCCGGTCTGTTTGAAAGGATTCGACGAGAAAGACAAGAAGACGGTGCACGAAATGAATTGCAAGGTTCGTCGTTACGAATGTCACTTGTGCAAGGAATCCTTCGGATCAAACAAAGCTAACACAATGATTCACTTGCGTGTGCACAGCGGCTTCGAGCCATTCGAATGCACACAATGTTCGAAGCAATTCAAAGAGAAAGGCAATCTCAACAAACACATAAAACTTCATGCTGGTCCACGCTTATTCCGCTGCTCCAACTGTCGCATGGCATTCCCACATCAAGACGAAAAAAATGCGCACGGGGAGAAGTGTGATCGCGATGTCTTCGAATGCTACGATTGTGGCAAGTCATTTGGTTTGCATAAAAGTAATTTGGTTCATCACATGCGCACCCACTCTGGTGAAACGCCATTCGAATGTCAACATTGTTCTAAACAATTCAAAACGAAATCCCACCTCAACAAGCACATGATATCTCATACAAAAAAGCTTCCATTTAAATGTTCGATTTGTCAACAAGGTTTCTTGAAGCAAACTCAATGCAAAGTCCACCAAAGAAATTGCGATCGACGGTGCTATGAATGTCATTTGTGCACAAAGTTCTTTGGTTCACGCAAAACAAACCTAAAAAAGCACATGCGGACCCATTCAGGCGATCAACCGTTCCATTGCCAGTTGTGCCACATACGATTCACGCAAAAAGAGAACTTGAAGCGGCACATAAGTCTAATCCACAACAAGAAAAATCCCTAATCAAATCATTCTCATCGAATTGAATAACTGAACGACCAATCACCGTACCTCAACTTAATTTCAAGAAAAACTACTTTCGTTTTGGATTTTGAATGCCGAACTAACATGATGCTTAACGATTACATTTGACATTTTCATTTGATTTTTTTCTCTGCGAAATCAAATTCTCTAAAAATCATACCTCTTGTTTGCCTTAATTCATCAGTGAAAAGGTAAAACTATCGATTCATAAATAAATAGTCGACAAAAATAAATCAAGTTTGTACATTTTATTCTCAACTGGCGCCATCTGAGTCAATTTGAGCAGATTCACCTTTAATTAGGATAGGATGTGACATTTGATTGAAACGTCACCGCAAACACAATCTCACCTATCAATTTGCACTCACACAGGCGCACAAGGGCCACTTCACCGCTTCATTGATAACAAAACAGAACGAACGAATTGGTGAAACAAAATGGGGAATAAAAAGAAGTAAGTACTTTTCTGTGACGTATCAAAATGTCAGCCCAAAATGATTGGAACAAAATGTTTTTTATTTGATAGTTTTCTTGTTTCTTGTGTATTGCACTATCGAAAATGGCTGACTACAAAAATGATTCGCATTTAATTTTCGAATCAGACGATTTGAGAAAATCATTTTGATTTTGCATAGAAATTCTTCGGAAATTATTTTTGGGCTATCCATTGAATTTGATAAAAATGTTAAATCGATGGAAATGCATCAGGCTTTGTATAGAGAAAAAAATGATTTTTCTCCAGTAGTGTAATGACCACGAAGACTAAACTTCGCATTGAAAATCTTCTTCCGAATTTTCTTGTGACTTTTTCTCTATTTCTCTATTACTCAGACGAACCATTGAAGTTGCAATGAATCAGAACCATCATTCTAATGCAGCAATCGAAATGAAGGATTCAGAAATGGAAATGATCGAGACTAACAACCAGTTGAATCGTCCAGTTGAAGTCAAAGAAGAGCCTCAAATCAAGGAAGAGCCACAGTCAGTTGGTGAATTGATCGATGTTCCCGTTCCGTCATGGAATAATCGTGGCGTTGTACTCGTGCTTGGTGTCGATCAATCGAATGGCGAATATGATTTTGATGATATTGATTGCGATGTCAAAATCGAGGTGAAAAAAGAAGTCGAAAAAAAGAAGGAAGTAGCACCGAAGTCAAACGCTGACTCAGGCAGCAGAAGGAAAGATGCAGAAGGAAATCAACACGATCTACAGCAGCCAAAACATCAAGATGAGGACGATATACTACCGCAAGTAAGTCGCCATGGTGCAACGAAGCCAAAAGTATGCAAAGTTGGTGATCCGAAAAATGTGTCGAAGAAACACAAGTGCGATCAATGCGAATATTTCACCGACCACAAAGGTCATTTCAATCGACATCTATTGAAACACACGGGCGAAAAGCCACACGGATGCGATTTGTGCCCGAAACGATTTTCAACCAAACAAAATCTTCGAAGCCACATGAAAGTTCACGTCGAAGAGCTTCTTTTCCACTGCCAGGGCTGTTTCCAAGGATTTAACGAGAAAGACGAGAAGACAGTGCACGAAGTAAATTGCAAAGTCCCTCGTTACGAATGTCACTTGTGCAAGAAATCGTTTGGATCAAACAACGTTTACACAAGGATTCACATGCGTGTGCACAGCGGCGTCAAACCATTCGAATGCACACAATGTTCGAAACAATTCGCAGATGAGCGCAATCTCAATCGCCACTCGAAACTCCATGCAGGTCCGTGCTCAGTCCGCTGCTCACACTGTCGCATGGCATTCTCACATCAAGACGAAAAAAATGCGCACTGGGAGAAGTGTGATCGCGATGTATTCGAATGCTACGTTTGTGGCAAGTCATTTGCTTTGAACAAATCCAATTTGATTCGTCATATGCGCACCCACTCCGGTGAAACCCCGTTCGAATGTCAACATTGCTCTAAACAATTCAAAACGAAATTCAGTCTCAATGGGCACATGGACTTTCACACAAAGACATTTCCATTCAAATGTTTGATTTGTCGCCGCGGCTTTTCGTTGGAAGTCAAAAGAAAGGCGCATCAACGTAACTGCAATCGACGGTGCTACGAGTGTCATTTGTGCAACAAGTTCTTCCACTCCCACAACACTAACTTGAGAGGTCATATGCATATTCATTCAGGCAAGAAGCTGTTCCAGTGCGAGCTGTGCCGCCGAACATTCACACAAAAGTCGAATTTGAAATGGCACATGAAGAACATCCACCACAAAAAGTACTGAACCACGTTATTCGGTTGCACGGATTATCTCAACGAATATTCATTTGATATGCATTCATCATCAGATCTAATCTCATTTATTGAATCATTTGACCAATAAAAAGCAAATCGAAATTAATTAATCGCAATCATTTAAATATATCTGAATTGATACGTTCCAACAAATATTGTTAATACTTGTAAACGATTTGGTTTTTCTTCTACTCATTATAAATGCAAACATTCAATAAAAATAAAACTTCAATAAAAAAGGGAATATTTGCGTCATCCGGTGTTTATTTATGAAATCGTAAAATGTTGAGGTACATTGACGGATGCAGGCGGAGGCAGAGATAGAGAGAGAGAGAGAGGCCGCGGTACACCAGCCATATGCTCCGTTTGTTTTGACCAACATCCCCTGAACAAATGTGCTCGATTTCTAAACATGTCCATTGCCCAACGTCGAATTACTGTTTGTTGCGGTGAATTGTGTGAAAATTGCTTGAAGTCTACCTTGTTTGATCATCCAAAATACAAGTTTGACAAATGTCCACGGTCCACGCACTTCAGGCTTCGATAATCATCCATTTAGCCATTTAGCCATTTGAGCCCAGGTGCTATTTATCGGATGCATCATTCGCACCGAGACTAATACGAAGTGGCTTCAAAAAGC